AATATCAATTAGGCCAACTTTCACACCAACAAGACCATTAAAAGAAATCGACGATTTTGTTTTACTCCCAATTACAACTATTTGACGTCAAAGTTTGCTCATACCGTTTTCGGGTTGAGTTATGTGCAAGAACAATTTGCCGGTGCCATACATACAGAGTCACGTGACGAAAAACGGGCATCTCACTGAAAAATTGCTTTTGCAATGCAGTGTTTAAAAAAAATACTCCAGAGGTGGGGTTTACGATTTAGATTTATTGCGATTGGCAGTTGCAATGTAACTTTTTGAGAAACACCGGAATTTGAGACAAACAGACGATTTCTGGTTGCGGTGTAAACGCAGCTCGAGTTTAGTAGACGATGACTAACTTTCAGACTGTGTTCAGCTCAAGTAATAAACAATGAACAGGTAAGAAACTAATAAGGTATGGCTTGACTCTCTTTAAGGAGGTCAATCTTATACACCAATTCAACTCTGATTGAGATTAACAACAAAGCGTTAATTTGTATGAATATTCTAAAACTAGGTGAGACCTTGCACATGAGATCTAGATGTACATCCAGATGCATAGTCTGTAGGTGTAGATATGATCGAGGTCTATCTAATACATAGGTTAGTTATATTAGGCCTAGGTTTGAAGTGTTAGCCTTACCAAGGAGTCTTCTACCTTCTTAATTGTTTAGACTTACTTTCAAGTCCTAAAGAGTAATAGTTTTAGTACACGGGAGTTTTAAAACGTAGACGAACCGTGGAGTTAAATCCTAAGTCTCGTAATTTATATCCCATATATATATATATATATATACCATATTTAAAATTCAGGTTAAATTTTATATTTCTTCAGTCCAAAAATAGTTTTTGGCTGCGCTCGAATGCATGACATTGTATACAGACAGTACGATTGGCGATAAGTTGTAAGCCCTCACAGATTTATAGCTAGACAACAAACTTGTTTGAAGTTTAAGTTTCATACTCACCTTGAGTAATCCTCAATATTCAAACTAAAGTTAAGTCTAAATAAATATTTTAAATTCAGTTCTAGAAAAAGAGTAGCATTAGGGCTAGAGATACAAGAGGCACTCTTCATTTCTGCGGGACTCTCATCAGATTATATGAAAGGATATATCTACCGTATAATCGTATTGTTAATTTATCTCATGTCAAGATGTCACACCGAAATATATTAGGTTAAATTTGTTTAGGGATTTTTTCTAATTTATTGAGATTGGATCTTTGAGGGTGATGTTCGATAGCTTATTTACACCTGTTTTTTGCATTCGGGAAAAGGCGAGTGCATTAGACCCAAGTACACTTTATAATACACATCTGCCGAAAAGGCATGTGGCATAGTTTACATCTAGTATTACATGATAAATGATAACAGTAGAATACACGATTTGTATACAGGAAATATGATACATATAACTCCAATCCCGACTTTTCACTGGCTTTCAATTGCACAACAAATTAAATCTAAGATCCTGCTACTAACATTCAAAGCTTTTTAACATGTTCTAGCTCTGGCAAGCTTCACTGCTTTATTTTCTCCCGCTTTGTTCACTTCTTCCCTTAGACTAACATCCACGTCCCATGCACGCCTTGATCAGACGCCAGGACCCCGCCCATGCACTCGATATGGAGACCACGCCTTCTCTTAGAATCAAACCCAAACTCTGGAATAACCTACCTACTGACGTCTGTGATGCCTATTCCCTTAATTTATTTCACTGTACAGTGAATTAAATACTTTCTCGTCCGACTTTACCTCTCAGTGCAATGTGATATTAAAGCTCGATTATATTAATCTTATTAATGCATCCTTATTGTAAAGGAGGTAGTAGATCTTCTTTATTATGTCATTTTTTTAAAAGTATATTTTGTGTATCTTAGAACAAAATTTATTATTATAGCTATTATGAAGAATGGAATAAATACCATACCAAATTATCATTATTAGTAGTAGTAATTGTAGTAGTAGTAGTAGTAGTAGTAGTAGTAGTAGTAGTAGTGCTAGTAGTAGTATGTAAAGCGCAATAAAACTCAGTATGTACCGCGCCATATAAGTATCGCGTAGTAATGCTCTTGTAATAAAGTATACTTCCATTGAACTCGAACAGTTCGGATCATTCTTTTACATTTGAAGAGAAATAGGATAATTAGTTAATTATTTATGTTTACAATCCTACTTTAGCTATTTGTTTAATGCTGTCCGCCAGGTTTTCGAATTCAGATAAAAAAACATCTGTGAAATCAAAGGGTGAAATGCAGGGTACTGCATCGACGAAAATTATATTTTTGTGTATATAACTAAATTAAACAAAAACGCCAATCATTATGCAATAAGAGGATCTGAAATGATATGGGTATCCAAGACAATTTCGAGGAGCGTACCTCAGTATCCAAATTGTATGATTCGATAGCTTTAACCATTACCGAAAATTGGATGCATGACATAAATGTTTTAGATATTCGTCTTTTACAATCCGTGTAATTCTTATTAAAAAAGGACAACTTTGGCTAAAGTGTTCAAGGTAAATTATAAGATACTCACTTGTAAGAAAAGAAAAATGTATTCCAGTCACATATTTTAACAGTCAAAGAGCTAAAAAAAAAAATTCTTCTGTCCTTTTTCCATGCACAACCACTTTTGATGTTATGTTCATTCAAAGTGTTTCATTGTGATATACAGTCTTAACAAGCCATCGACTAGGCAACATAGCCACTATTGCCTATTAATGTGGTGCTTAAGAACACACATTTGGGGCTTAATACATTGATTTTTTGTTTTTTTAGTTATAATTATCCACCGGTTATTTGAGTATATAGAACGTACGTAATGTATAATTTGTAACGAAGTCGATACTACCCATGCCCATGAAATGATGGTGATTTCTGATCGTGAGCTTCGCGTAATCTTTGTTCATTATACGCTTGTACAAAATACTATTAGACCATCTTCGGCGTGTTGTCTGGTTTCCGCGTGTTTGTTCCAGGAGAGTCTTCGGACGCGCGGGTTCGGCTGCCTATGCCAGATATTTGTGTTTCTTTTGTCGGGGCTTGTTCGTTGCACAGTATGTTATGTTGCTCGTTGATAGGTCGGACAGACCTTGAGCTTGTTCGACCTGGCAACGGCAGACTCATGTACGCTGAATGGGCCTTGGCGGGGGTGACCCGGTGATCTGGCGCGGGCGGGTGGGTTCGCACGTCTCTGGTCTCTCTGGGAGCGGACATGTGCAGAATTTGATGCACGTTGTTGATGGTCCATTATTTAATTTATACTGGGAATCTCGCTCAACAAGCCTAGATTTTCTGAGATTACTTTTTCCCCTCTCAGTAAAATCAAGCAATATAACATAGTTTGTCTAATTCTCAAACTTAAATGTACTCTGTAAACTTATTTGATTACGAACATACTTGTCAGTATTTCGTTACTATTATAATTCATTTGTTCTATTATATATTGTATTACTGTATGGTTTATATATGCCATTTAATTTGTGGATATTTGAGTGGAAAATAAATAAAATCAAATCAAATCAAATCAAAATGTTTACATTATTATTATTAAAATGTAAGAAAAAGTCCGATGTAACGATGAGACATAATAAAGTTTTCCATTTTAAACTCATAGTTGTGTTAAAGTCTGATGATATCTCTGTAAGTTTCTATAAAAGGCTATGATTGAATTGGTAAATGTATTTTGATAATATGTGACGTCATTTTTTCTAAGGGAATGTGCTGATACCCAATACCAAAATACAACCATGCTAACCATGTTCTAAAGAACGTCTGTAAATCATCCCCACGATTGACCAATATCTCGAGCCCATTTTTCCAGATTCCTTTAAAGCAAAGGAGCAAGTCGATAAGGGTAGAAAGCTTGCTCGACTTGTGGTATATGTTAACTAATATCGGTTTAAAATTAAACTCAGATACATTTTGTGTCAAATCACACCCTGGAAAATTAGTGAAAATTAACGAATTAACAGGAAAATTTTGTTTGAGAAATGAAGTAAAAACTTGCTACGTTTTCGATCAAGTAAAAACGAAATTATATGTAAAGATACACACGATTCAAAATATTATATTGCAATTGACTAAACTAACATTTTACATTTTATATCTACCGATTTATTTTTGTTCTGCCTTTCTTGCCGAATTTCTTTCTTATCTTCTTCTCACTCTAGAATTGAAGCATACGGTTGTCTTATTTTTTTTTTTGAAGCCTTGGTTTAAACGAAACGTTGATATCGCTCAGCATATTGTGATTATCAAGTGTTCAGGAATCGTGAACTGAATAACAAAAATAAAGAAGTTGATTACTTTGTTGACACGATCTTAAAATGCAATATCAATTGAGAGGTTTCGATATTGGAGTATTGATCTTTTAATTTAAATTATATTTACCTTAGTACTAATTTTTTCGAAATAAATTTCAATTTCTTGATGCGCTTTTTAATATTTATCTCCATGCTGATATGGATCTTCTGAAAATATGAATGCAAAAACATTTTGTAAGGATATGAAAGTTCAATTATGCAATGTTCTTTATTTGTGTCAAAGTAAATTTTCTTTTTGAGCAGTTTTGTCTGTTTCGCTACTCTTTACATGTCATGTTTCCCCGCTACAAACTCATACTAACATGTTTGCACTCCCTCAGCCTATTTCTGTTACAGCCTTTCCAAGCTTTGAATGAATTATTGCTTGTCTTCTCACTCTTCTTTTTTTTTTAATTTTGTCATAATAAAGATACTCATCTTCATAACCACGATGTATCTTTTTTTAATAATGAACATAACCTTCTTGACTTCAATTTACTTCTTAGCAATGAACCCCTGATGTACATATTTCAAATGATGGCAGAGTGACCAGTTTTTAAGGACACGTCTTTGTTACATTTATGTCTATACCCCTATATTACGCATACATTTATTTACATTAAATTTAATGGCGTAAATTTTCAAAATCACTTTATTCTATCAATTTGTTTGTTCTTTCAGGTTCAATAAAATGTGGTGCTCCCTATATTCCTCATCATGCTATGGTGGAAGATCTCCGTCTGAATTACAACGTTGGCGACAGTGTGAATGTGACGTGTAATACCAGTGATGCTTTCTTCCCCCTTCAATGTCATAACAAAGGATTGTGGAGCGGGCCGCTTGCGTCTTGTCCCGAACCAAAGAGTAAGGTTTCCTCTTAGTTCCTGTACAAATATGATATATTAAGCTGATTCTGTTTTCAAAGGAAATATTTCAGAAATCAATCATTAATCGTTTAGTACCATTCTTAGAACATCAAAACCACAGCGTTTCATAACTTTTCGTCAAATCCCTTAACCCTTAACACGAACATTATTTGCACAGAATTCATTTGTCTTCGCTGGATGTGCCTATTGGAATTCTCTTCCCAACGATATAAAAGAAGCCCCTAGTCTTAGCAATTTTAAACGTAAACTTAGGAAAACATTAATCAGCCAATACTCCCCACCAACAAGCCAAGCTCAAAAATCTAAACCTACGGAAAGATAAAACAAATCTTTCCTTTTGTTATTCCTCCTTTCCTCCTTTTTTGTTTCTTTTTTAAGAATAATCTAAACAAGCCTAACGACCTGGTGGTGTACCTGCCTCCTGTCCCCATCTCCTTCTTCCTGCCTTTCTCTCGCTCTCTATTTCTCTCTTGCTCTCTCCCCTTTCTCTCTCTCTCTCTCTCTGTTACTATATTTATCTTACTTTTATTTTTACTTTTACTTTTTCTTTTTTTTGTATTCCCTTTTAGTGTGTTTTACTGGTATTAGCTTTCGACCATAATTATTTAAGCGTATCCATGTAACTAAGTCAGGGGCTTGCCTCATACAAGCTCTGCTTTTTTAGCAAGCCCCTCCGTTTTGAATTACTTCATCAAGGTCATTTTTTTTCTATTGTTCAGTACTGTTTTTTCCCAATATTTCTTATCAACTAAATTTTGTTCTACATAATACTGAATTTACTTTGTTTATATTATATTTGACTGTATTATATTATGTCTGTTTATATTTTGTTTGTTTTGAAACGGAAATAAAATCTGAATCTGAATCTGAATCTATTGATGAATATAAATCAGACCTGCAATATTGTTCCATATGATCATATCCGTAAGTTGTGGGGAATTTAATCATTATCATTTTTCTTTTCTTTTTCACTACGTTTATGTTTTGCTGTCATGCACTCTCAAAGGCTTGAGTCTCCCTTACAATGTACAATCGCTATGCCAATATTTTGCCAGTGTGTTTTATACAAAAAACTCTACAAAAGTCGTAAAATTATTCGTGACAGAGATTCCAATCTCCTTTTTCTATACTCTTGTTATTAATTGTTCAAACATTGATTTATCTATAAAAAAAAACTAGTGCGATATGCACATTCTAAAAATTCCTCAAATATTTATCACCGCTTTTCATTTGTCCTCGCAGGTGCTCCATCAGTTGACTCTTGCACTGCCCCAGCAGTGCCAATTGATTCAACCATTCAGAATCTTCGTCTCTCATACAAAAACGGTGACAGGATGAACGTGACATGTAACGAGGGCCCTGAGTGGTTCCCCGTGACATGTGAGGATGGAACATGGACAGGCCAGAACATAGTGTGCCCTGTCCCTGCCATAGGTATGCCAAACATACATTGCAATGAACATAACGGAATAAAAGCTACCGGTCGTATATAGAATTTGTTACGATAAAGATATAAATGTTTCGTGATATAGGGCTTCATTAATTTGAATTTTAATCGAAGGGTTGAGGGATCGAATTCCATCCCGCTACTGATGTCATTTGAACACATCCATGCACATTTGCCTTTCTCTGAACATGTATATATAAGTGCGTGTCAATTACTGGGGCAACACGAATTAAAAGAAGAAGACTCAATTATTATTTATTTTTAACAACATTGATTAATAATAAATCGGTATTCAAACGCTTACACTAAATTTACACGAGAATGCAAGGTGATGTGACAATTTTATTTAACATTTCATATAAAGATTTAAAGCGCCCTTAAAAAAAGCTAATGCTGTCGTGTCTGTGCGGGGGGGGGGGGGGGGTGGGGTGTAGGATAGTTTGTTCAACCCATGATTAGAGTCGCTTCGTTTTCGATCGAAACGTAGTTTAATTCTTAATAACCAAAGATGTGCGCTTTATTGGCAAGCCATAGCGCTTGCAAAAGGCTTCCCTGAATATTTACTGTGCTGTAATGAATTTAAAGCCTTCGAAAAAGTTGTTGATTTTGAATATTCTCCACCTTTCTTTGTTTTTACAAGTAAACTATAATCGCGATAAATCAGTTTGTTCTCATTTAAAAATACTTAATTTGCAGAATGCAATCAACCAATCATCTCTGTCGACGCATACATTGGAAATGTTAAGCCTCGCTACAAGAATGGTGACCAAGTGAACATCACATGTAACGACGAATCTGATTCTTTCATTTGGTATTGTCAGCGAGATGGCTTGTGGCGTGGGCCTACCTTCGAATGTTCTCGTACTCATCCACTGCCTGAAGGTAACTATGCACTTAAACATATCCGATAAAACAGGATAATGTGGTACCACACTATGACACGATGTGGTATGATATCACATCATATAACAAATTATAAAGTAAACAATCTATCCTCTGAATGTGTAGTACTACTAGATGTATGTCATTTAGTAACTGCGCCTTTTACATATAACATCAAGCTCTGCGACCAAAATGTCTCTCCACCTGAACAAATGAATAGGTAGACTTCCCGCAAGCTCTTCCCCACAATACATTTTTTTTATTTCAAAGATCAAATAAAGCATGATGAATTACAAGGCCCAAAAGCATATTTACATGAGATGTAAAAGAAACAAAAAGTAAAAAACGGAAAAAGGATACTGCTTTACAAATTAAGCTCATCTCTTTGCATATTATGAATATTTGTGAAACAATTTACCTAATTGCGCTTATATTAATACCGTCCATAGTTTACCACTCGGACTATTCCACACATACGTTTTTGTTCATGCCCACCTTGTTTTTATAATAATTGTTATCTTTAAACAAATATATATTTTGTGTACGGGGCCGCTAAAGTTATGTACGGGATTTTGCTGCATGTTCGGTAAAAAAATAAAGATAACTGAAATACAAATACAAAAACAAATCGAAATAGAAATATGAGTACAAATACGATTGCAAATAACAAATGAAAATAAGAAAAACAAAATACAATTACCAGTTCGAATATGAATGCGAGTACAAATGAAAATGCTAAATTTGAATATAAAGATATATCTTAATAAAACAATTTAATTCGGTCTTTGCTGATAACCAAATTACTTGTGTTACCAGGGCAACCACCGTCATCCCCGGGGCGCTTTACAAGACCGAATACTGAGCATGATGGCAGGGATTACTTTATCACCGGTCTTCTGGTCACAGCTGTCATCTTATTCATCCTTGTTCTGATGTGTATGGCTGTGTTCGTTATCTTCATGAGAAAGTAAGTAAATGTGTTCATTATTGTTTTCTATTTATGCAAAATGTCTTTTATTGTATCAAGGCCGTGATTGAAAAAATACTTGTTCCACGCGTTTCGTCACAACCAGGCAATGGGATGGTTTCATGATATCATTATTTTCATTATACATTATACATATTGAAGACAAACCAAAGTATTTAACCACTAATGAACTCCGCTGTAAGAAAAATCTTCACTATCTTTGTTCGGTCAGATAGTTTGACAAGTAATGTTGAAACATTCAGGCAGTTAATTTCTGTGATACGGTAAAGATAGATTGTTAAAAAAGGACAAAAGTGTTAAATTGGAAACAAAAATTAATAAATGCTTATAAACTTCGTAAAGATTTTCGCAGAGCTTAAGATTCGGTTAGAACATAATTAAAATGGTCATGCAATGCAACACTTGCATAAATAAATCGGACGTTCATACTTCTAAATAAAACAATCGAACTAAAATCATAATATAACCTGATTCCAATACAATATTTTTTTGAATTTCATTTTATAATCAAACAGTCGTGGGTACGATTTAGTAACGTCATCGAAAGACGCTCTTCAAGATGAGAATGGATCTAGAGGACCTCTTCCTGACGTTCCTGAAGGATATGCCAACTACGTTGCTGGTGAACAGTCACTCTATGTCGAACCATATCTCAAACAAAATGGAGATCACATTCCAGCCTATGAAGTCTACGAAAAACCAGTTTGATTAATTTATCCTCGACAACGTAAACAGCTAATCACTATCAGTGTTAGATTCAGCGTGCTTTTCCTTTTTTGTACCAATCATGTTAATATTTGTTTTTGTTAAGTTGTAAACAATGTTCAGTTGAACATGGAACATGCACCATCGCCTAATAATACTTGTATTGAATTTCAGTTGTGACAATTTGAATGTTATTTTATCGTAAAATGTATGGAGTTCTTACACGCAGTTATTCCCTTCTACTTACTAAATTAAATGTATATTCAATACATAAAAATAGCAATCAATTCCCCCCCCCCCCCGATAATGCATTAATTATTGTCTTGAATTCACCACTGATATGTGTTACAGTAAAATGTATGTTTATTAGCGTTCTTGTTTATTTTATTTCTAAATATTTCAAGTAAGAATATGAAAAGGACAATTTTTTCTCGCGTACCAAATGTTAAATATTGAGATTAATTTAAGACGAGGTTAAACCTTTATCGCTTTACATACAATAGATATCAAATGTGTACAGTATGATTCTACATGCATTTGTTCATAATGTGAATACTTTTCTGTCTTCAACTTACATGTCCAGGTCATTATCAAAGTGTACGATATTCAGCTCATTGATTACTTTAATACACATGGAATTCATTAATACCAAATACGATATCTGCAATAAAAATAATAATAAAAAAAAAAAAAAAAACTTAGGTCTACTACTTTCATTGCTTTAAATCCATTTTCGATTTCAATTTCATTTTAGTCCGTTTATCTAGCTATACATTATTGTAACTTTGACTAGTAAAAACGGGATGTTTTTTTTCCGCCATTGTAAATTTGATGCGTTCTTTGTTTTTCGTAAAACAAGAATTGTAGGTCTGGTTGAAATAACGCTTTTCTTAATTTGTGTGAAATAAAAATTTTAATATGTCATATTCTCAAGATAAAGGAATCCATACAAATAGATTGTTTACATGCTTGTTTTCTTTTAGGGGTCATTGGCGTATTGTTAACATCATGGAATTGTAACCCTATCAGTTATAACCTAATATTAAGAAGAATCAGTGTTGTCCCTGTATTTTTTACGTTGATTTTTTTGTAAATAAATGTCAATCAAGCTTGACAAAAGATGTGCTATTATCAGGAGGTGACAAATTAAATATGACTGTATACATATCCGGAATTGATCGGAAATAATTTTGTGGACAAAACTACCTTGCATTTTTTTCTTCTGACTCGTTAAATATGAAAGCATACATACATCATATAACAATGACGATGGAGGTGGAGATAAGGATAATGAAAATGATGATGATAATGAAACTAATACTGTTAATGATGATGGTAATCATAATAAAAATAATGATAATAATTATGATAATGATACTAATACTTTTAATGGCGATGGTAATCTTAATAGCAATAGTGATAATACAAATAATAAAAAAGCGTAGATCACAATGTCCTCATTCGTATAACGTTGTTTATAATCAAACGCAGTTCGTTCATAAATGGTTTATTTAATATAAACAGGAAAAAACAGGAAGTCTAAAGATCATGAAAAGAATGATGATATTAATTATAACAATAATGATGAATTATAATAATATACACTGTTACTAATTTTAATGAGCATAATGCAAACAATTATGATAATAATGATACCAAAAAAAAAAATAATAAAGGTACGAATACAAAGAATTGAAGAGGACTGAGAACATTTAATAAGAAAGTGGTGTATCTAACGATGTTCGGCTTTTTATTCGTTACACCAATATATTATAATCTATACTCAGACTTACACTTCTTATGCTACGGAAATGTTATAATGTAATATTGTGCTGTGAATCTACAGAGAATGGTATGAAAATAAATTACTTACATTAGCATAACATTTTTTAATATGAATTTTATTTCCTGTAACTGATTTCGTATGTAACCACCCTAAATACGTTGAGATAATAATTATCATGCGCACTCCAATAGTTTTATCCTTCTTTGCCTTATGTAAGGTTGAGTTTAAGAATACCCTATAATCGATTTGAATGAAATATATACCTAAGATATCAGAGACTGCATTTCTTGTACATAATAATTATTTAAATTGGTTATCATATATTTGTTATCATATCATATTGTATATCATATAGGGGAGATAAAAGAACAAAATAACAATGATAGGTTTCAGGCAAAATAATTTATTTCCGTTGTTAGCCAGTCATTTGTATCAAAGTAAACTGTTATCATTCAAAGAAAAAAAATTAGTCACTTCTCTTTTTTCTACAATGGCACTTTTACGCTGTCGACAATGATAATAGCACATTTAATAAAATAAAGTACCAAGTGAAGCGGGCATTAAGCTCGTCTACGGACCTGATCGGTATTCAGGCTGGGTACAGGTCAAGCTTACAAGTGGCAGTAGAAATAATCTGATCCCATAAGTCACCGACTTCACACTTTATGATTAATATTACGCCAAATGTTTAACACTTCCGATTGTGGATGATTGACCACGGCACTATTGCATCGTCCGTAACCCGTTCTTAGGTGGATGAGGGTTAGCTAAGAAGGCCAAGTTGGAACTGGTTGCGAGGGACTCTCTTGGGCTGGGGAATAGTTTATGTGGAGTGTTTTGGAGGTGGTTTGACCACTATCCTTTGGTTGTGAAAGCCATACAAACAATATGACAGCAGGGCACTCATTAAGGTTTGCTTTGTAGCTCATAACATCACTTCTTATGACATGTTTTCAGAAGCTAGAAACCTATTATATGACTCTTAAATTCTGAATATTATTCAATATTTATATGGCCTTCATGGGAGAGGAGCTGCATGATTGTTTCACTGCACCGAATTCCCACCTTTAGGCACTTACAATTTGATAAAAACCTTGTTTTTAAAGGTGTATGGCTTATGCCTTAGCTCGTAATATCATAAATTTGTAACATTACTATTTAGAAGACAACGTAATTGAATTCCAATAATTAATATAATTCTTATGTGAACATGAACATTTAAATCCGGCCATTGTAAAATGGAGTGTGTTAATGGCTCGTACGCGGACCTGATCAGTACACAGGCTGGGTAGAGGTCAAAAGGCAAATGGAGCTTTAAAAAATAGGACAACGCCAATAAAAGACCAACATTAAATGTTACGTTGTTCTACTTAATAATATTGTTCACCTGCTAGCACACATTCTCATTTGCTCTCAAATTTCTTTCTCTCTCTGACGAAACAACATATACCATGATGGCATTTTACGTGTGTGGTATTTAAGTTGAAGGAATACAATTCAATAAACACTTATCTGTGTAAGAACGAGCAGTACGCAGCTCCTTTACCTCATCATTGACATAAGTAGATTGAAGTAGGTTGCCCTCCTAACTCCCTAAAATTATGAACCAAGTAAACTTTTTTTTTTTTCTCAATTTCGTGCGAAATTGAATTAAGGCGTAGATGAACATTACTTGGTATCTATTTTCAATTGCGAGATCGATTAAATAGGAAGGATAGGGAAACCATTCTGTTCATAGTCTTGAAAGGATTTATGGTGGTGGAATATCTTAAATATAGTGGCACCGCATCCACTATGACTGTAGTGCGGAGCTGAACTTTTGTTTTACACACCCCGCACCTGCTCCTTAACTTACAAATTAACAATGTCGAATGCCACAAAACAGGTGAGGCGTTTGAAAGTACGTCTTAAAAAGTACGTCAAAAAAGTGGGCTAGCTTATAATTGGGTAGCACGCTCAGTGTGACAGAAGTGCAGAGCTGCGCTAAGGATTCGCGTACCACCGAAATAGAAATGTGTGTAAGATGCCACAAAGTAGGTCTGGAGTTTGACGAACATAAACACAAATGTAATAGTATTTGATTATGTTGTAACATAGACACCATATGGGCCACCTCTCTCTCTCTCTCTCTCTCTTTCTTTCTTTCTTTATCTTGTTCTCTCTCTCCCTCTTTATCTCCACATTACACATATTATGCACATGTTTTATCTAAATATCTAGAAGGGGATACATTTTGCTTCAAAAACTGATGATACCATCGATTGGACCCAAAACGTGTCGTTTTTAATGAATCCTAATTTAGTAGCTGTTATTTGATTATTGTCAATTACAAAGATCTCCTTTAGAATATAAGATCTCCTTTATCAAAATATATATGTGTGCATCAAAGTACACGCAAATAATCAGAAGATCAAAAAGAAAAGTCTATTTAAAAGAAGAGCATTTTTAGGTTGCAATGGTCGATTTTGAATAATTATGTATGCCTATTCACCTTTGCAGCTAGATAGAGATCAAGCTTGCTATTGATTAGTATTAACCAACTCTAAAAATGAATGAAAATGATATATTCAACAAGGTGCTTGTGGCTTGGGTTTATCTAACCTATTTGGAAAATCTCATATCTGAAGAGAACATATGGAAACGTTTGCTTGTATTTGTCTCATAAAAGAAGTTGATCACAAACTGACTCCCACACGGTGTTTAGTGCTCAGGGGTCACAGGCCACTGGTCTCATCGGGCAGGTAGTTCCATTATGTGAATGGGTAAATTAAATATTTCAATGAGGGGACACATTACAATGTACAATAGGGACACACCTTGTTTTTATTGTGCAGAACATACTCTTTTATTGACTTACTTATTGCATGAAACTATAAAACCAAAATACATTTTGTATTCTAACAATTGGAGTACAAAGAATAATAACAGGTGCATGAAATGCATAAGCACTACAATGAACACCTGGGGAGGAAGCATTCATAAATTTGAATACATATAGTTGATAAACGGCGATTCCGATGAAACTATAAAACCAAAATGAAATTAGTGTTCTAGCAATTGGAGTACAAAGAATGATAGCAGGTGAATGAAATGCTTCAACAACAACACAAACACCTGGGAAGCTAGGAAGCATCCATAAATTTGAATAATTTAGTTGATAAACGACCCCGCATGTGGAGGTTTGTTGGAGCAGAAAGCAGTGGATTCGTAACAACACGAACCCATTTAACATAATGATAAATGCCAAATTAAATTTGGTGCGGTTGAAAAATCTTTTTAACCTGCGACTTTAATGGTACGATCCAGTAAATTAAAACAATAAAATGGCTCTTTTTATTTTAAAATTACTCATTAAATAAAACCCAAAACTTCAGTGATATCAGGAATAATATGTTAAATCTTACTAATAGTTAAAAAAAAAAAAAAAAAAAATAAGTGTACACATTGTGAGAGTGTCGCATTTTGCGATAAAAGACGCCGATTTAGCGAAGATGACTTCATTAGTGCGCTTGCATCAGGGAATTCAAGGTCAAAAGGTCAATTCAGACACTGATAAGTTATTGGTCGAGCCTTTTTGTTTCCTTTATTCCCACAAAATTATACAACCAATCAAAACAAGTTTAATACCAGAAGAAAGCTAACGAATAGTATTTTCATTAACCGCTTGCCCCAAAGTCGCTTGACCACAGTGAAACGAGTGAGAGCTTGCGAGAGCAGCTACAGTGTGATTGAAACTCGCTATTTGCTCTTCTCCTACGCAAAAAGAGACGACATTGTGCTGGATAAATGTATTTTTTCCGACAAAAGTACAGACAATTTGCATATGGTCTTTTTATATTATACTTTATGAAATGTTACCCGAGCGACTTCCGGGCGCCCTAATGCTGGAAAGAAACGCACATTTTAGAAAACTTCACTTTTTCATGGAAAAATGCTTATTTGTTCTATGCACACAAGTCAGATTGAGCGGATGATACAACGTTTCCATATGGGTACTAACAAGTTTGCAGTCGTCTGGAGAGGCCAGCTGCAACGTATCGTTGTTTTCCAATTTTAAGAAAAATGGATAGTTGTACATGGCAGCAACAATGTCGGTCTCAGTTGTTGCCGGTCAGATGTACTGTCTCGCCCCCCCCCCCCCCCGAGTCACCAATCATCTATGCAGTGCCGACAATAGATCATGTAATGACGAGTAAACTTTGTTATGGTCTATGTCTGCTTCGGCAATATGCGGAGCAGGTATGCGGCTCACGCACGGACCTGATAAATATTCAGGTAGTGTACGAGTTAGAATTTACGATTTTAGTTTCACTCGGTTGGTGATCATTCTTTGCATATATTGATAAATAATTCTCAAGGAAAAGACTGTGCATAATGTTACCGCATAGTTTAAATGACTGCTATCGTCTGTCAATTGGAAACATTTTAACACAACTTTAAGATGGCATAGAACAAAACGGGTGTTTGATCTATTGTATTTCCATTTTTATACAGCTTTCCAGGCAATTTAAGAGACAAAATATACAAATGGAGTAACAAATATCCTCGACTAGTGCCCATAACCAGTAGGAAACTAGGTAGTTTCTCCAAAACAAAAGGATCATATTTCCTTTTGAACTAAGAAAAGTACCACGACGCCTTTTCTTCCTTTTTCATCGGCAAAGCTAATGAAGGGATTTGGAATATATAATATTAATACAAGTGATGCTGGTGTGCGGCTCGTCGGCGGACCTGATCAGTATTCAGACCTCATAGAGATCAGTATTGTAGTGAGTTGTCCTTTTACGAAGTAAGCCCGCGTTAGATGGTTTCTCTTCACATTCAAATAATGTCAGATACCATAGACAATGTGAGCTCTTTTATTGAAATGAGAGGGAAAGTTTAGCAATTTTAAGTTATTAGGGAACAAGGTTTTGGCTCATGTATTTTATATTGGCACGAGCAACAATGGACATTTCACAACCGATAGTGGACAATTTGGCTCTCGGACCTAAAATATGTATGTATGGCAGAATAATGTGGATATAAATCAGCATATCCCGAACATTTGTCTATTATTTGGTTTGTGAATCAGATTCATGATTACGTTACATTACCATCGCAATTACTATGACCCTAGTGTCTAGCTGTGCTTACTAACTTTGACACCAGACCTGCACGTTTACTCCATACTCATTCGAATTCCAAGCATATATCAGATGCCACAAACAAGGTGAGACGTTTGACAGAAAAGATTTTAAATAGAATACTTACAAGCATACACGGGCGTTCTTAGCAGTCAGTAAGACAAATAACAAACCAAACACTGGACAGAAATAAAAACATCCACACAAACGTTCGTTCTATGCAATGTATCAAATTGAAATTGGTGAATAGCACATCGCCAGTCGTTTGATCAACGTTTGAAAACCGATACCTCCGTAGAAGAAGTAAGCAAAATAGACGGGGAAGCTGAAGAATAAAGTGTGTATTAAAGCCATACTGTATTGAAAGCAGTACACAAACATCCCCTTTATAGAAAGATCAGAATTAGCAGCAATCAAATGGCTGTACCTTACTTTCCTAAAGAGCTTTTATTCATGATTCAATACAACTTTTGTACACAACAAGAAGGGCAATTATACAAAAAATGCTGCTAATTGATATCCATTTGGTACATAGAAAACATTACCACAAGCAGAATTACAAAGGAGACGGGACAAAACATACTCAAATATCCCTTCCAAATAAACACATTTGATTCAATGTCACACAAGACCCAGGCAAATACTGCTATGCTACAAACTAGGTAATGCGTTTAACTGGAAGTTTCTTTCCTTACATACCCCCTTCCCCGCAGTTAGGTCCAGAAGACAATCGTGATCCATGATTACCGTCTACAACCCTGTTCAAGGGATCCATTTTGAATTAAATGAAAAAGAAGAATCATTAGAATAACGTCGAAATATTTGCCATGATCCTTAAATTTCGAAATGTTATTACCCTCACCAAATAATTTGTCACTACATAACAGTGTTTAAGGTAATCTCAAATTGCAATGTACAATTTTTGTTTAATCACTTTAATATCATTTATTATGACCTTGCTTACAGGTTCAATTCCTTGCAGTGCCCCGTACATTCCCGCACACGCACACGTTACAAATCCTCGTCTCAACTACAACTTTGGGGCCAAAATTACCGTGACATGCAATGCCAGTTCTGATACCTTCAACCTTCAGTGTCATAACAAAGGGCTTTGGAGTGGACCGATTGTATCCTGCCCTGAATCGACCGCAAGGGGTAAGATAATATTCAAATCCGTACCCGTTTTAGGATCACTTTGCTTCTATTAAGATTTGAATCTAAACAATGCATCAAAACCCCTAACACTCAGTCAGGTAGTACGATGCGTGAATATGTTCGTCCCATTACGAAACGTTCTGAACGGAATGATTCGCTCTGTTCATAAACACATATGAATCCTAAAACAAAATTGAATCCTGAGCTGCTAAGACACTGTAAACTCGCAATGTCAGTGAAGCTGATAGGCACTAAGTGCCAAATGATAGTGCTGAATTTGTTGCATACGTGTTTGCTTCTTTTGTTCTTTAGTAAGTCTATATTTTCTTGTTGCACTTAATTTCGTGAAAAGCATTCGCAATTTGGTGAAAGTAAAACATATTGTTTTCGTTTAGTTTAGTTTACACAATCCGCCACACTAAGGGTTCAGACATAAAATAGAAATTGTAGGCATTTTGTACAGTTGTGAAGCAAGTAACTTATAATTTGTTTCCCTCAACTCTAGCTCTTCCTACGAACTGTAATGCTCCTTCAGTCCCGAGATACTCAACGCTCGAAACCCTTAGCCCGAATTATAACCTTGGAGACAGTGTGACATTCCGATGTGACAATACCACCATTCAACCGTTTAGTCTTCTTTGTGAAAACACTGGGTTATGGAGTGGACCAATGCAGACGTGCCCGCCACCTGTCTCAGGTATATATTACATATGTGTATCCATTATTATTATTGCCACAGACGGTACATATATACGGGACTCCGATAAGAGTCAAGTTTGCGAGTTTTTTTTAAATTTCGATCACTTTAGATCATAAACATTGACAACGACTGAAATATATGAATAGATATGCTGCCTTGTAGTTAGTTATATGCTGCATTGCGGTTTTTAAAGAAGTGAACACTATAACGACATATATGTGCATTTGTATCTGAAACTTATCCCCCTGACAGGAAAAGTTCGACTGGCTTCCGTCATATGAGATCCCCAAATTAATGGTCATGATAATGGAGGAAGATATATTAAATCTTAATATTAGATTCAGGAAAAAGTGCCCGTTACTCTGCTAACTGTAATTGTTCAAATTCCAAACAGAGTTTAACGAAGAACAATACAATTGCCCAAACTGCTAGAAAATACAAATAGTATGGGGCTCGGCACGTTACTAAAGATCCGACTTATTATCAGATAACATTTTGATGTGGCTTATTATTGGAATGTTAGATCGATCAACATTTGTGATTATTAAGGCTATATCTAGACAAAGCATTATATAGAGATAGGTGTTAATAGTTCAAGTCATGAGGTCCAGTACGGTAAGAGTTTGATCGCTGCGGTATTGGTTGTAAAACTATTCGGCATTATCCATTATTGTAGCATGTACATTATGGTATCAATAAGTCAGCTCCTAGTTGAATCTGTAGATATTGATCACAACTGTCTCTGTCTTAACTACTAATGACATATTGAGAAACATTCGTATTGCATTTTCATTCACAGCTCCTACACGATGCACTAGTCCATATATCCCAAAGTATGCATCAGCTGAAAACGTACGTTTGGCCTACAGCATCGGTGAGAGTGTAACAATCACCTGTGACAGCGGAACAGACGGGTCGTTTACCCTTCAGTGCAAATCAGATGGGTTTTGGACGGGTGGTGTCCAGTCTTGCCCACCGCCGTTAGAAGGTTAGCTTTATTCATTAATCATTTATTCATTAATCATTATTCATTTACCCAGCTATCAATGGTAAAAAACTCGTAAATAATACCTAAGCCCCAACGCACACACGTATTTAATTAACTGTACATTTGTTGTCTTTCGTGGTTGTGGTTTTCAAAAAAGATAGCATCCAACCACTTAATGTTGTCTGTGTTATCTTCCGACAACATAATACTTTATTTTCCTGTTTACGTCCTCAGATATACTCAAATAACATTTCAAATAGATAAATGTTTGTTGTACCAACTATCATCTCCACTTAATTTTCTGAACAGCTCCGGATAAGTGCAGTGCCCCTTACGTTCCAAGATATGCATCGATTCAAGGCCTGCAACTGAATTATGACTATGATGACAGTATTACTGTAACATGTGACAGCAGCACTGCTCAGTTTACCCTTCGGTGTGGCACGAAAGGTCAATGGAGTGGCCAGGAGGTTTCTTGTCCTGTACCTACCCCAGGTAAGACTTTAAAAAAAATATTTTTATTTGATTGGATTTGATTAATTGTTTTGTCTAAAACTCTCCCCCCCCCAAAAAAAAAAAAAAATAAATAAATAAAAATAAATAAATAAATAAATAAATAACAAAAAAAAAAAAAAAAAATAAATAAATAAATACAAAAAAAAAAAAAAAAAAAAATTAATTGATTAAAAAAAAAAAAAAAAAAAAAACGACTGGCTTTCGCAATTTACTTAACAATTGTTTTTGTTGGTGAATGTGGTCAACAAAATATAGCATTCAACCACTTCATTGTTTTCTGTTATTACTCATTACCATTATTCTTTATTTCTCCCGTTTACGTCCAGAGATATACTCAAATAACATTTCAAGTAGATAGATGTTTGCTGTACGATTTATCATCTTCACCTGATTTTATTTACAGTTCCGGAGAAGTGCAGTGCCCCTTACGTTCCAAGATATGCAACTATTCAAAACCTGCAACTGAATTATGACTATGATGACAGTATTACTGTGGAATGTGACAATAGCAGTGCTCGGTTTAACCTTCGGTGTGACACGAAAGGTCGATGGAGTGGGCAGGAAGTTTCTTGTCCCATACCTACCCAAGGTAAGAGTTTTTTGTATTATTATTTTGATTCGATTTATTCATAGTTTCTGTTTATAACTCCCCCCCCCCCCCAACCATTCGACTAGCTTTCAAAATAAACAAGTCCTAAATCAATGGCCATGATGATGGAGGACGATATTTTTAATCTTCGTATTAGATCTAGGAAAAAGTGACTGTGCAAATTATTAGAGATCACATTTCAAAAAAGGGTTTAACAAACGAAAATATAATTGCCCAAAATGCTAGGACATTAACAGAGAAACTGGCTTGGCACGTTACTGTAGACCCGAGTTATTACCAGGTAACATTTTGAACTGGCCTTATCATGAAAATGTCAGAAATATTGAATTTGTTTATTATAACTAAGGCTATGTCGAGACGAAGTATTATTAGAGATAGGTATTAATAGTTTAAGTTAGGAGGTCCAGTAGGGTACGAGTTTGATTGTTGTGGTATTGGTCGTACAACTGTTAGACATTATTCATAATTGTAGGATGTAAATTATAGATAAAATCAGAATCAGCTTCCAGTATGAATTGTAGATATTGATCATAACTTTCTCTGTCTAAACTACTAATGAAATAATAAGAAACAAACGTATTGCATTTCCATTCACAGCCCCTACACGGTGCACTAGTCCATATATCCCAAAGTATGCATCAGCTGTAAACGTTCGTTTGGTCTACAGCATCGGTGAGAGTGTAACCATCACCTGTGACAGCAGAACAGACGGGTCGTTTATCCTTCAGTGCAACTCATATGGGTTTTGGACAGGTAGTGTCCGTTCTTGCTCACAGCCGATAGAAGGTTAGCTATTCTTATTATTCAATTATTCATCATTTATTATTCATTTAGCTACCCAGCTATCAATGTTCGAAAACGTGTAAATAATACCTTAGCCCCAACGCACACACGTTTATAATTTACTGTACAGTTGTTGTTGTTGTTGTTGTTCATGGTTGTAGTCAAAAGAATATAGCATCCAACCACTTTGGTGTTTTCTGTTTACACTCAACAACATTATACTTTGTGTTTCCCGTTTACGTCCAGAGATATACTAAAAAATCAGTTCAAGTAGATACATGTTTGTTGTATCAACTATCATCTTTACTTGATTTTCTTTACAGTTCCGGAGAAGTGCAGTGCCCCTTACGTTCCAAGATATGCAACTATTCAAAACCTGCAACTGAATTATGAGTATGGTGACAGCATTACTGTGGCATGTGACAATAGCAGTGCTCGGTTTAACCTTCGGTGTGACACGAAAGGTCGATGGAGTGGGCAGGAAGTTTCTTGTCCCGTACCTACCTCAGGTAAGACTTTTTTAAATTGTAAATTGATTTGATTCATTGTTTTCGTCTGAACACCCCCCCCCCCCCTCCCAATGTTCGATTGGCTTTCGTACTATACGAGCCCAATATCAATGGTCATGATGGTGAAGGGAGATAGAAGAATTCTGAAATTAGATCCAGAGAAAACTGCCATTTAATGTGCAAATTGTAAGAGTTCAAATTTCAAGCACAGTTTGACCAATAGCAATATAATTGCGAATGTACTAGAACATTAACACAGTAAATGAATGGGCACGCAATTGGAGACCCGACTTATGATCAGGTAACATTTTAATCAGGGCTTATTATCAGAATGTCGAATAGCGTATCCGGACACCTTACCCCTAGACATCCACCCCCGGATAACAGCCCCAGTCAACCACCCCTAGGACAACTACCCCCTTGCCAACCACCCTCTAGGACGACTATCACCCGGGACAACTACCCCCGGACAACTACTTCCCGGACAACTTCCCCCTGACAACTACCCCTTAGGACAACTACCCCCTAGACCAACCACCCTCTAGGACAAATGCTCCGGGGGTAGGTGACTGCGGGTTGGTTATCCGGGGGATGTCAAGGGGGTAGGTGTCCTAGAACCGTCGCACAGTGGGCCAGGGAGGGACCAAAGTGCGCCAAAACTATTTTGGGGTGATTCATTGTTTTCAATTTTTTTCTTGCCCAGTTGAAAGGTAATACATAGAGGAATACCTCAGTGAAATATTTAATTCCGGTATGCACAATAAGGGTATAAATTTACTACTTCAATCAGCAAAATCCTACATATTCACAGTTTTAGTGCAAAAGTGACCTATTTTATAAATCTTTCAATTCAACATGAAGTTTTTAAGTTATTGATATGAAATTGCTCTCACATATTTCTGATAGTTCATTTCGTTGAATGAATGGGTTAAGATTAATAGAAACACAATCTTCATGATATATTATAGGGTAATTCACTGAAAAATGGACTAATTATCCATGTTTTTTATAAATCCAGAAGAAATGTTTAGATCTCCGCGGTGTACCGCTTAAATTTTAATACCACCCTTTCCTCTGATGTCTAAGCTTCAAGTTGATACCAAATTTGGCTGCCCGATCTTGCCCGTTGTTATGTTAGAGCCGATTTCCCTTGCCACATTGCCCCGAAAATGTGGGTTTTTGGGGTCCGCGGATGAATCATGAAGGATTCGTGGTCATAAATCACGGCGCGAGGGGGCGCGTGACACTTGTTCTAACACCGCAGACCAAAATAAACACATTTTTCGGGGCAATGTTGCAAGGAAAACAGCTCTAACATAATAACGGGCGGAATCCGGCTGCCAAATCTGGTATCAACTTAAAGATTAGACATCAGAGAAAATGTTGGTAATACAATTTAAGCGAAAATCCCTGGAAATCTAAACATTTCCTCTGGATTTATAAAAAAGAAATCCCCAAACATAAGTTTTGGCGCACTTTGGTCCCTCCCTGGCCCACTGTGCGTCGGATCGATCGAGACCTGTGATTAACATTAAGGCTATGTCTAGCCGAAGCATCAGATGGAGATCGGTATTAATAGTTCAAGTCGGGAAGTTTAGTAGGGTAAAAGTTTGGTCACTGCAATATTGGTCGTAAAACTGTTTGACAATATTCATAATTGTAGCGTGTACATTATTTTATCAATACATCAGCTCCTACTTTGAACTGTAGATATTGATCATTACTTTCTCTGTCTAAACTATTAATGTTATTTTAATAAACATACGTCTTGCATTTCCATTCACAGCCCCTACACGATGCACTAGTCCATATATCCCAAAGTATGCATCAGCTGAAAACGTACGTTTGGCCTACATCATTGGTGAGATTGTAACAATCACCTGTGACAGCAGAACAGATGGGTCGTTTACCCTTCAGTGTAACTCAGATGGGTTTTGGTCGGGTGGCGTTCATTTTTGCTCACCGCCGATAGAAGGTTCGCTTTATGTCTTATTAATTAATCATAAATCATTAATCATTATTCAATGAGCCACCAACCTATCACTTGTCAACTTGTAAATAAATACATAATATTTAGCACCCAATGTTCCTACGCGTTCACGTGTATGTTTAATATAACAATTGTTGTCGATGGTGGTTGTGGTCAAAATAATATATCATGCAACCTCTTTATCCCTTTTATCACTCAGCAGCATCTTACTTTTTTTGTTAACTCCGTTTACACTTAAAGATAAAATCAGATAATACTCTATTGACATTTAATGTAGATAAATGTTTGCTGTACCTATGATCATCTTTACTTGATTTTCTTAACAGCTCCGGAGAAGTGCAGTGCCCCTTACGTTCCAAGATATGCAACCATTCAGGACTTGCAACTGAATTATGACCATGGTGACAGTATTACTGTGACATGTGACAGCAGCACTGCTCAGTTTACCCTTCGGTGTGACACAAAAGGCCAATGGAGTGGCCAGGAAGTTTCTTGTCCCGTACCTACCCCAGGTAAGACTTTCAATTTTGATTTGATTGCATTCACTTACCCCCCCCCCCCTTTAATTCGACCGCTCTTCTCATAATACAAGCCCCAAATCAATGGTCATGATGGTGGAGATATAATGAATTTGAAATTAGATCCAGATCCTGTGCCAATTGTGAGAGTTTACATTTTAAAACAGAGTTTGACCAACATAAATAAAATTGCCCCAAATGCCTGATGTATCTAAAACAAAATAGAATGTTAACACAGTAAAAATGTAATTTTGTGGACTGCTCGCAATTTTCGACATGGGACTTGTCCGTTCGCGTGAACTAAGGCATTGACGTGTACCAGAGTGATGTAAAATTTAGCTTGTGTAATTATTATTTAACCATACTATACAAGACATATTTTTAGAAATTGAATAATTATGTATGTATGTGTGTGGGATCCTAACAAATATTATTGATGTCTGTATATTTTGTTATAACTGCACAATCAACATGGTCATGTATATGTATCAATATCGTTGTCTTAGCATTGATACATTTTGTATACTTAATTCTCGGGGGAAAATAAGACAATCTATCATTTTACCTGGAACAGACTGCGATTTCATTGAGGTATTAAATTGTCATTGTGAATAATTGATGAGAATACCTGCTGAGGAGCTGGAAATAATGCTCAATATAATAAGGGCAATATTATGTGTAAGGTGCTTTACAAATGTGTATAGTGTTGACTTCACATTTTTATTCTAATATCATGGTTGTCTGTGCTAGACTAGGCCTAAATATGCTATTGACAGTTGTATTTTATTTTTTTCGTTATATTACTGATGCTGTCTTTACTATTACCTGATTATTTATTCATGTTCTTATGCTACATACGTGTTTTCCTTGTTGCATCGAACCCCACCCTCCAATGACTTCATGTAACATTTTACTATCAGCTCCATCTCAATGCAGTGCTCCTGTTATTCCAAGACATTCTACCATTGCATTCTACCGAATAACCTACAACTCAGGTGATGACGTAATTGTAACTTGTGATGCAAGCAACGATCGTTTTACCCTCCATTGTAACAACAGTGGAATTTGAAGTGGACCGGAAATGTCTTGCCAAGAACCAGCCAAACGTAAGATATTTGATTTTTATCTGACTAATATGGCAATGTGATCGGTTTACTTTAACTAAAAATTAATTAAATGCAGGACAGGTTATATTTTTCTGCATCAGGTCATATGCAGAAGAAGATCGTCTTTTTAAAATGTTAATTTGATAACTCGCACATGGGATAAATTATGCGAAATGTTTTTATCGAGTATAAACAAATATTGATAGAGTAATATAATCGGTACCAAGCCACTTTCATGCAAAACATTCAACGTTTCAAAGTAAGTCCGAAGGCTCAATATTGTGATGGCTGTTCCAAAGTTCTGTTACTACAAAGCTTTGATTTTTTTGTATCAATGCCAACAATGCCATATGGATTATAAACTTAAAAAATAGAGATGGTTTGTAATTGCAACTGTGGAATAAATTCATAATTGCCATTTGTATTATCCCTATAATTAACTAAATCATTTTAGAATTACAAACATTGAGATTAACGTATTTTTTTTTATATTTATAATCATGCACCTTATTTCATATTGAGAATTGCAAAACTTCAACAAAATAGCACATTAGCGTCTTTCAAAATTATGAGCCGTCAGACTACAAATCTGTGAAAATAACAAATCCTCGCAAATTTAAAACCTTCGGAGTAACACACAATCGTAAAAGTGACCCCAAGGCTTGTCATTGCAAGTTAGTGTATTCGAAATTTATTAGATCCTCCTTTTTCATTTGATGCAACTCATATAATGCATATTTCACGCTTGAGTGATTAAAATGAATTTGAAGAGAGGAAACCAACATGTCATTTGGCGCACGGTATCTGAATTTCTAGGAGAAAATCACATTTCTAGAAGATTGAATTTCTTTCCTTTTATATGACACCTTAATCAGAAAAAATGAGCAAGGAATGACAAAGTTCTGTTTGTTTAAAGTAATGCTTGCATTTCCATAATTTTATCAAACATATTTGTTTTCACTAGCTGCCTGCCGTAGCAACAAAAAGATTTGACAAAGGGCTTAACTCCGTTTCGTTGACAATCAGCCGTAGACGAAAGACTTCATGCATGGCTGATTGCCAACGAAACGAAGTCAAGTCTGTTGTCAATTTTGCTTGTTACTACGGCGGGCAGCTAGTGGAAACGTATTCGTTCGAATAAATTATGGAAATGCAAGCACTACTTTAAACAAACAGAACTGTGTTATTCCTTGCTCCTTTTTCCTGATTGAGGTGTCAAATGAAAGGCGGAAACTCAACTTTCTAGAAATGTGATTTTTTTTTTGAAATTCAGTTACCGTCCGCCAAATCTTTAAATTCATTTTAATCACTCATGCGTAAAATATGCATTATTTGAGTTGCATCAACCGAAAGAGGAGGACCTAAGCTTTCCAAATATGTGTAATTTATTAATAATAAATATTGTTAAGTTATGATAAACATCGATAATTCTCGGTTTCGTTTTTTTTTTTTTTTTTGGAGGGGGGGGGGGCACTCTATAATGTGATGTTTTATTTTGAGGTTTTAGTGGTTTCAGTTTTGAATTTTTCTTCTTCTATCCCCAAAATGCTGTGAATATGACAGCTCCAACACTGTGCAGTGCACCTTATATTCCGAGATATTCTTCGATTGAAAGTCATCATTTGAACTACAATTACGATGACACAGTGACAGTGACATGTGACACGAACAATGATCAATTTACCCTGCGGTGTCAGGCAAGTGGATTATGGAATGGCCCTGATATATCCTGTGCAGCACCGACATTGCCGGTAATACCAGCTCCATGTAAGTAAATATATTTTGGGTATTGTATCTGAAATCTTTTCTTTCTTATACTCCCTTGTTTCCACCATCATCATCGTCATCATCATCATGTTCTTCTTCATTATCACCACTACCATAACCATAAACCTGGCATAAATGGGGCCCGGGGAAATACAACAATATAAATACAAAAGTAATATAAACACGCACTGAGATGAACGCACATCTTGCGCTCAATCCGTTACAATAATCACTGATATCTAGAATAACATTTTTTTTCCAGAGAACCTGTTATTTTGTTAAACAAAAATACAAAGTACATATAAAACTCAATCCTGTTTTATAACTTTAACTGTTTTTCATTACAGTTTCTTTCTTTTTTTCTCTTTTCATCTCTTCGATTTCCAGAATCTGATTTCCCTTTTCACACCTAAACCTACAAACTTTCTTCAACAAAAAATCTTACCACCTATTATTTTTTTTTCCATTGTCCTTAACATATGACAAGGACGAATAGTTTTAACCGTGATTAGTAGCATTTGTGGATTTAAAGCAAATGTTTAAATATAAATATTGTTTTCCTTTTATGTGTTGCTGTCCCAAACTTTAAAAGGCTTGAATTGCCATTACAATGACAATATATAATGTAAATATGTTGAAGATTATTGGTTCTGTGTGAGTAATAAACTAGTATTTACTGAGCAGAGTCGCACGGATATTTCTGAGAGAGGTTTAAATAACCTGTTCAATACTTTTATGTTTTATTTCACTCATTAATTCTTTTAAGAACGTCACAAATTTAAATATCCTAACGAATTCCTAAAATGTGAACCAACGCTTCCCATTATTACAGTATATCGTGGTCACCATAAGATTATTTGCATATATTCTCTCCACAGTTCCTCCATCACATGCCTCCTGCAGTGCACCAGCAGTGCCTATTGATTCAACCATTCAGAATCTTCGTCTCTCATACAAAGACGGTGACAGGATGAACGTGACATGTAACGTGGGTTCTGATTGGTTCGACGTATCATGTGACGATGGAATATGGATAGGCCAAAACATAGTTTGCCCTGACCCTCCCAAAGGTATGCAAAACGTACGTTTTAAAAAGCTACCTGTCGTAAAGTCATTTTATGTAATAAAAATGAAGAGGCGTCGTGGTATAGGGCTTCATTCAATTGACTCTCAGTGGAGGGGTTGATGGATCGAATCCCATCCCGCTACTAACATCCTTTGAACACATTGATGCGCAATCGCCTATTTTTGACAGTGTACATATACATGTAGGTGCCTGACGATTACCGGGACATTAACAATTGCAAGACGAAGACTCAATCATTATGTATTGTTAATAACCATGATTATCTAAAAATGACACGAGGATAAGAGCTAATGTGATAAAGTGCCCTTCAAAAGAGCTTATTATCTATTTGAGTATGTGTGTGTGTGTGTGTTTATCGGACAGTTTGTAGCGTGCATAATCAAGGCAACATCGTTTACGATCGAAACAAACAGAGTGAGTCAGAAAAAAATGTCCCACTTTTTAAAAGTTATATTGTTTGAAGTGTGAATAATTATTCATGGGTTTCATGATACGTCTTGATAGAGTTTTCATCCTAGTACATTTAGGTACCCTTTTCATCTGAATCTCTGCATGCATGAGTGAACATCAGCCAATCTTTACAAGACTGCCGGATCTTACTTGCGCCAAGTTACTTGGTGAGGAATAAAACAGTGCATTGAACAAGGACAGTCAGACAGACACAAATAAATACACACACAAACACACACACTCACGCACACACACACACACGCACACAGATGAGCGTTCCATTCTCGACAAGGCCCACCCAAACTGTTACTTTTTATCGGGAAATCTTGTTCTTGTACGAAAAGTTGAGTGGCCGCTGTCCTCTTGGTGCGTATAGGCGGATGCTGTGATTCAGGACGATGATGATGATAGTGATGATGTTGATGAAGATTAAGATGATGATAATGATGATGATGACATGATGGTGGTAGCGAATGTGTACTAAAGGATGCCACTTAAACATTCAGCGATCTTGATAGAAAAATAAATGCTTAATCAGAAAAGGGGAATTGTGAAATAATTGTCACCGTGTGTGTTGTGTGTATGAGCGAGTGTGCGTGTGCGTGGATGCGTTTGTGTGCGTATGTGCGTGTATGTGTGTGTGTGTTTGCGTGTGTGTGCGTGTGTGTGTGTGTGTGTGTGTGTGCGTGTCTGTCTGACTGTCTCTGTTCAATGCACTGTTTTATTCTTCACCCAGTAACTTGACGCAAGTGAGATCTGGCAATTTGTAAAGATTGTCTGGTGTTCACTCATACATGCAGATATTCAAATGAAAATGGCACCTGAGTGTACGTGGACGATAACTCTATCAAGACATATCATGAGTCACTCTGTAGTTCCCATTTTCAATCATCAAATATTTGCACTTTTTGGGGCAACTACAAGCGCTCGAAAGAAGCTTCCCTGAATTATTTTTCTGCTCTAATCATTGAAGAGTCTTGGGAGAAGTCTTTGATTTTAAATACTTTACAATTTTCTTTTTGTGTACACGTATACCCTAATCGCAATAAATCAGTATGTTGTAATGTTTAAATACTTCATTTGCAGAATGCAATCCACCAATCATCCCCGTCGTTTCATTCATGGAAAATGTTAAGCCTCGGTACAAGATTGGTGACCAAGTCAACATCACATGTAACGACGACTCTGATTGGTTCGCTTGGGAATGTCACACAGATGGCTTGTGGCGAGGGAATTCCGTCCAGTGCTCAACTGATTGTCCACCGCCCGGAGGTTATTATGCACTTTGAAATGTCTGATATAAGGGGATAATGTGGTACCAGACTATGATAACAATCTTGTATTCAAGTTATAATAATTATGGTGTAAATGATTATCATCTTAAATTGTAGCATACTAAAAGATTAAAAGTAATAAATTTAAACTGGTCCTTCAAATGTAAATATAAGTAATATGAGAGAATGCCTCTCCGCCGCCACAAATAAGGGAAAGTTTACACTAGCTCTTATGTTGCACAATATATATTTCTCTGTTGAAAGGCCGAGTAAAACAAGGTGATGAATAACAAAAGCCGAAGCATTTTTGACATAAGATGGGAAAGAAACACAAATTGTAAAGAAAGAAAGGATACTGCTTTTCAAATTAAGCTCATCTCTTTGCAAATTATTTATAAGAGTGTATCAACTTACCTATTTGGGATTGTATTATTATAGTTTATTATTTACCTCCCTACTTATTTTTTCCACGTATCTCTTTCACGCAAAACTTTTTTTATGAGCATTTATTTTGTTATATTTTTTATTTTGTTTAACATAGTTGACGGGGCTGCTGTTATCATGTGGGGGAATTTGCTGTTTTTTGATTTTTAACGAATATCTGAGAAAAAGAAATACAAATATAATAAAGAATATAATCACATATATAATAATAATATGTATACAAAGACGAACACGTTTACAAATGCGATTAAAAATACGAAGAAGAAGAATACAAATAGAAATTAAAATGTTAATGATGCACAAACAAATGAAATGATGCAAATACAAATACGAATATGAATATAAATACAAATACAAATTCAAAGGAAAATACAAATTAAAAACAAGACAAAAATACAAATACAAATACAAATACAAATTAGATTACGAATAAATATACGCATCCAAATTCAATTACTGAAATGTAATACAAATATATCTGATGATAATTGGTGTTTGCTTATAACCAAATTACTTATATTTACAGGAGGAAAACCTACATTTCCAGAGCGCATTTCATATTCTAAGAGTGAGCAAAAGGGAAGGGATTACTTTATCACCGGTCTTCTGGTTACAGCTGTCATCTTATTCATCCTTGTTCTCATGTGTATGGCTGCGTTTGTTATCTTCATGAGAAAGTAAGTTAATGTGTATTATAATAATCGTATAGAGTGGTGAAGAGTGACGTAGTCAAAAAGCTATTTTTATAATTTCTCAATTTAATTTTCATTTTCTGAAAGAGCATCACAAATAATGTCCGAATGGTTAAAACCAATTGAATATATTTAGTTTTGGCTGAAGTATGACCATCTGAAAAAATATGGCTCGGTGTAAAAATGTTAGAGGTAAAACTGTCAGAGGAAAAAATGTCAGAGATATAAATGTCAGAGGAAAAAATGTCAGAGGTAAAAATGTTAGAGGTAAAAATGTCAGAGGTAAAAATGTCAGGGGTAAAAATGTCAGAGGAAAAAATGTCAGAGGTAAAAATGTCAGAGGAAAAAATGTCAGAGGTAAAAATGTCAGAGGTAAAAATGTCAGAGGTAAAAAAGTTAAGGTATAAAATAAAAACAAAAGCATGTGACAAGTTTGTTATGGTTACACCCGGGTTATATATTAGGCTTATCGAAAAAGAACAGCGAGGGATATTCTGCAGTCATTATTTCACCGCTGCTTTATTTTCCACTTTCCCAGTTTAAATTTATTTACCTTTCGGCCCCAAATTGTGACTTTTGCCCGATTATTGTCGAAGGAAGACGGGGAGGGGGTATTCTTCTTCTGGGGCACGGTGACCCGGCTGCTCTCCCCCTTCCTCTTATATGCTTTGCTATATATCCTTCCGAACAGTGGTCAATGCCTAGGCAGAGCAGCCAGACTAATGGGACATGGTTTCTACTCCGAGTTTCGCGCCTTGCAAGCAGTCATCAGGCAACTGATAGCATTCTTAAAGTACATGGTTATCCTACAACCTTGGTACAAATACCCCTAAAATAAGACTTAACTAATAAAATACAATTGGAATTACTCATGAGTATTCTTATTGTATTGTATTCAGGTATTGTAGTCTTATTGTATTGTATAGCTCTTATTTTGAGCGTATTTGTACCAAGGTTGTAGAGGAATCGTCTACTTTGACAAATGCTATCAGTTGTCTGATGATCGCTTGCAAGGCGTGAAACTCGGAGCAGCAACCATGCATGTCCCATTAGTCTGCCTTATTCAATATTTATATACCGGTACATTATGCTTTTGTATAAGCAAATGGTACTGGTACACTGAGCAAACTTCTGGGGGAAAAGTTTTCTAAAATCGAGAAGTTTGGCCATGTTTTATAGGCTGAGTTGTCGCTCCATGGTGTAATCATTAAATAAAAAGAAAAGTCAGTACAGCCCACAAAAAAGGATCAGATATCTATGAACCTTCCACCCCCCCCCCCCCACTTCTCCTTCACTTTTGAAGATAGTTGGACATTTCAACTGCGTGGCAATGACTACTATTATATGTAATTTCCAATAAATGCATATTTCCGACAATTCCACTTTCTTGTGGGCTTGGTATTTTGATACTCTGAAAGTAGGGTCCATGCTGAAACAAAGCAGAAAGTCATGTTATCAGTGCTAGCCGCACCATCACATTCCCGAAGTGCGCACGTTGCAATAAAATATTGTCGATTACTATTGCGGTAAAAAATAGTCTGGGAAAAAAATCAATAAGCAGCTTTGTTACTCCGATACAAAGCAGAAAGCCACCCATGTTACATCAATTAAAGAGAAGGTTGAGTTCTGGGAAAAGGTGAACAATAATGTGTGAGCGTTTGTTATCATTCTTATTATGCAAGTGTGGAAGAACATCAAAGAAAAAAGTTATTCCCTGAAAATCTATTTCAAATGACTTCATATCCCAGATATGACAAGTAACAGCTTTAAAATGAGGCCCGATTTGTATGCCATATGTTTGTGTAGTCCCATATCAATATCTTTCTGTGTACAGTGCTTGTTACTTTACCAAGACTAGGCCAAAGATTTTATCATTTTGATGACTCCAAAACCTTGCACTACACACCAATACTTACATGTTTATGCTAGATGATCAACCTTTTCTGATTGCTTCCACACCGTTTCTTTCACAATGCATTCGCATGACCAGAACTCAACTTCATCTTTAAATGCCAACCGCACCATCACATTTTAGAGAAGCGTGCGCTTTGCAGAGGTTCGGTTTAAATTACATCGTTATTTATAATTGTCGGAGAGTTTATAATGGGGATGAGCTTCTGAATCGAGACGGTCTTTTACTTTTTGGAGCGGGTTTTTAGTTTTCGGAGCGACTTTTTACTTTTCGGAGCGACTTCTTGATTTTCTTATTCTTACTCCACTTCCTTTGCCGCCATGAGGTGCTAAAGCTTTAGCAGAGTTCGGGGCGCCCAGCCCTTATATGTAACTTTTCGTGATTCCTCGTGATTATGTAACTATTTTGTACTAAATGCACTACTCACTTTGACAGTTGACTTTTGTCGAGAATTTTCATTTCTTCGTTTGGACTTTGTACAATGTTGCAGGCTGCCACCGGCCAAACCGGTCCGTTTCACAAACATTAACACATCAACCAATTCAAAATATAAAAAAAATGTTAGACATTCATTATATGCGAGCCTGATCACAACGAAATAAATTTCAAAATCTATTGTCCACATTGTATTATCCTCAGGACATGTACGAAATACAACACACAGCCATTTATAAAATTTACATTATGGAAGAAAGGAATATAATAGACTAGCCCATGCAGTAGCAGTACGTCTCAACATTCTGTGTGATAAAAGTGTTGAGATATTATGACGGCACTCATTTTTTTTGCTTGTACCTCTGACATTTTTTCCTCTGACATTTTTACCTCTGACATTTTTACCTCTGACATTTTTACCTCTGACATTTTTACCTCTGACATTTTTACCTCTGACATTTTTACCTCTGACATTTTTTCCTCTGACATTTTTACCTCTGACATTTTTACCTCTGACATTTTTACCTCTGACATTTTTTCCTCTGACATTTGTACCTCTGACATTTTTACCTGGCACCAAAAATATATGTCCTATGGGAACTCAGTGTGGTAGTGCTCTGGTTCATAACATTAGGAACCAGAGCACTATAACACTGAGTTCCCATAGAACATTTATTTATTCATAGGGTCATATCTCAGCCAATACTTAATATATTCAATTGGTTTTCGACATTCGGACATTAATTTTGATGGTCTTTTGGAAAATGAAGAAAAAATTGAGAAAATCTAAAAAAAAAAGATTGTTATGATGGCACAGCTTCGGTACGCTATAATGTCTAGATCTGTACAATAACTCGTTATTATGTTTTCAGTGTATTTTCTCTTTACGTCCAACATATATCATGATGAAAATCAACTCTCCGTCGATTCTAGGCATTTAACCGTTTTTACATCAATTACATAATTCTAATTAACTCAGTGTGCTGGGACTTATGGAAGGAGGCTGAACCCCGCCGCTCGCGCTCATAATGTGTAAAACTACCAGTACTTAGGAAAGCGTTTCCTCGCAATCAAGGAATGAGGTGGTTTCGTGGTTGTTGATGCATTTTATATATCATCTTAGAAGGAAAAACAATAACAGCACTAATAAACTCCGGGGAAAAATCCTAACCAACTTTGTTAGATAATTTTTCAAAAGACGTTGACATATTCAGGCAATTTGTGTCTGTGTTATGGTATAGATATATCTTTTAAAAGTAGCTAAACCAACATAAGTGTTTAATTAGAAACATTATTAAATAAATGAAAATAAAGATATGTTTATAAATGAAAGAGGGTGTCATTTGAAGGACACTTCTGCAAAGATTTCCCCCCTAAAAGAGCGTTCGAAAACAAATATTCATGAAAAAATACATAATTTGATATTCTTTCATTAATATTCGACTTCAAACATTTACAAATGTTTTACATAATGAATTTAACGGTGCAATTGAAATCTGAATAGTAAATTAAATGTTATTTGAATACAAAATTTGTTTTAATTTCATGTTATAATCTACAGTCGTGGCTATGATCTAGCAACATCATCGAAAGACACCCTTCAAGATGAGAAGGGATCCAGAGGACCTCTTCCCGACGTTCCTGACGGTTATGCCAACTACATTGGGGGTGACCAGTCACTCTATGTCGAACCATACCTCAAACAAAATGAAGATCCCATTCGAAGCTATGAAGTCTACGAAAAACCAACTTGAATAATTTACTACCAGTTTTAGATTCAATGAGCACTTCATATATGAAAACTCGACTCTTGTTTATTAGCCTTCTTTTATACTTATGCTGTTATTCTGTGTTGTTGTTTAATTCTCATAAATTTTGATTAATCTTTCCTTCAAATGTTAGAAGTTATTTCACGCAGTCATCCCCTGTTCCTTGATAATTTACACTAATATTCACTATAATAAAATGGTATACCATTAATATCCCTCTTCTTTCTCATAATGCATTAATAGTTGTCTTGAAATCCACTGAATCCACTAAATATCATTGTATTGTGACAACGAATTCACGTTTCTGTGAATTTTTTGCATAATTTTTCAAGTAAGAATATGAAAATACCACTATCTCTTGAATATCCTATGTTTATTATTGAAATAAGTTTAAGACGAGGTTAAACCAGTTTTGCTTTAAGTACAGTATGTAGGAGAGGTGTACATTAAGATGAAACACGCATTCATTAGTTTTATTAAATTTAAATCTAAATTTAAAACAAAAACACATCCGTTATAATAACAGTACATATGAACAATCATACAATGCAAAGAATAATAGTAATGTTGATTAAACAATATGAAATACGATATATCTGCATACTATTACATATACAAAAGATATACACGTAAATATGTGTATTACTAATATACAGGTGAAGTTGGTAATGGGAACTATACTCGAGCCCAGTTCCATACTTTGGGAAGATTTCATTTTTAAATGTGTTTTTACATATGAATTTAATCTTGTTTGTGTTTTATTTACATATATAGGCAAATAATAATAGAGCACCATGTAACCTGTTTACATTTGTAAAAGAAAAGAAAGAAAAACGCACAGATTTAAGAGCTAAAGCATTATAATAAAAGATAACAAATCTTTGAACAAATACAATCATCACCATATTCATGAAATGAAAAGGATTTATTAATAAAAAATAAAATCATACGGAAATGCATAAAAAGTAAAAGCTTAAGGTCAACTATAATCGTTAACTGGCAAGTGCATACATATATAAAAAGAAGACATGTAAATTCAAAGGAAAAAAGAAAGGAGAGGGGGTGAGTTGGGTTTGAACCCACGTCATTTACATGAGGGTAGATGAAAAGATATTTCCGAAAGATAACCTCGATGTCTTAATCTACTTTTATCTGGAAGATCATTCCACAGCTTTGTTCCTTCAAACACAATACACAAATTTCCTTGCGTTGTCTTACATTTTGGTTGATAGAGTAAGCCACTTTCTGTTTGCCTCGTTGCATATCTGTGATGTATCATCTGACAATAATATAAATAATTTTCTTTCTTTGAAATGGGCAGGTTATTATCAAATTATACGATACTATGTTGATTGATAGATTTAATACACAAGACATCCATTAATACTAAAGGAGATATCCTTAATGAAAACAAAAGAAGAATACTTCTCGGTAAGTAGTTTTTTAAAAGTGTTGTTTCGTTGTTGGTTTTCGTAACTCAAGAATACAAATGTTACTAGTTAAACAAACCTTTTAGAAGAAAACTTTTTTAATGAAAGCTTTAATATGTCATATTCTCAAGAAAAATAAATCGGGAAAATATGTTATTTACATGCTTAGTAAAATTTTCAAATGTAAACGTTGTAAGGGTATAAATAATGTACTTGTAAATGTGTACCACTCCTAGCTAGAACCTGTATTGCAAAAACTCGTTGTATTCCCTTTGCTGAAATGCATGTAAATTGAACTCAATTAAACTTGGGGAAAAAGCGGTGTAGAAATAAGTAGGTGACAAATAATTAAGAAATTCAATTAGAAATATATATATACGAACAGGAGATATATAAATATATGTTTAGATAAACAAACACAGAACCGTTTGGAAATCATTTGTACCCTGGATTTTTTTACCATAATGACTCGCTAAATATAAATGTATACATGCATCATATAATAATGGCGATGAAGGTAGTGGTAATGATAAGGATATTGGTGATAAAGATAATGATGATAATTATAACAATAATGATAACACAATTAATAATGATAACAATAGGCGTATATTTCAATGTCATCCTCTGTATAATGGTATTGGAAAAAACGCAGTACTTTTATAAATGGTTAAATAAACACCCTTTAACAATCATAGTGAATAGCAAACTCCCTCACATTAATATTAAATGACAATGATATTGACTAATATTAATGTTAGCGATAATAATAATAATACTAGTATCACTAATATTAATAATAATTATAATTGTAAAAATTAAAAATTTAATAACTAAAATGATAATTATTAAGATAATGATAGTGATAATACTAATGCTACTACTAATACTAATAAAACTATTACTAATATGTAATGGAAGGATATTAATGATGACGATAATAGGATATACAACACTTTATGCTAGTGCGTTTAAGGACTAAAAGAACTTGAACATCAAGAAAATGGTTTATCTTTCGATTGTTGCTTTGTTATTCGTTACACAGGTGAATTATATATGTATACACAGGCTTGCAACCGAAATACGACAAATGAAATTGTATAATGTAAAGAAGTAAAATAATCAGTAGTTGATATGTAGTTGTCAATCTACAGAGAATGATATAAAATAAATTACGTTCATTAGCATAAATGATTTCATACGACTTTTATTTTCTGTGTGCGATTTTTTATATCACCACCATCCCTACGTCGAGATAATAACTATTATCTGCAAGTGAAAAGGCTCATCCTTCTTTGCCTTCTCTGAGGTTTGAAGTTTAAGAATACCCGTACATTTATTTGAATGAAATAGTTACGGAAGATATCAAAGAAACATATTATTCCAGTGTGAGATATATTGATTTAAGAGAAAGATAATTATATAGTGCATATCACTATTCGTGAGACAGTACTAAAGGTGGGTCTATTGTTTCTTTCGTACGCAACACAAATTACAAGCACAAACATTAATATAATGTTGTGAATACAAAACTTGCATTCAAATTTCCTTTAGACCTGCGACTTCTCAAACAGGGACGAACCTACTAACTGATGTTTTTTTTCAGTTTCGGTGAATATAGAATGATTTTAAAGTAAAAAAAAATGTTTATAAATACACGAGTACTTTATTTTGTCCAGCTTAAGAATACTGTTCCTCAAGATTGTGTTGCTTTTACATTGATCCCAGCAACATTTGAACAAATCCTGATTTCCCTGTATTATCATTATCACTTATCTATTGTGGAGATGAATTACTAATGCACAAACAATATACTTTATAGAAGGTGTCAGTAAGACTTATCCACTTTAATAGGCTGTATCTGTGGGACAGTTTGGACGGTTAACAAGGCAACCATGCAGAGTGACCGATTGTATTAATGCAACAACATGTGATTTGTTTTATAAAATGGTGATCAGAAACTGTGATAGTAATTTATTATCCTAATATCATGTGAGATATATATTGTTTGATAACGAGTATCGGTGTAAACTAGGCGCCATTCGTTGAGGTACGCACAACCACACGCGCACATACAGTGTGAGTCAAAAAAGTTTACACCTAGGAAATTGCCATTTTAAAAAAAAATCATCTATGAACAGTAAATTATTATACATCTTATGAAAGAGTGTTTTATCCCGAATCATTTGGTATCATTTTTGTGGGTTATGTGTTCACGCTTGGATGAACAGGAGGCATTGTTTGCGTGAGTGCAAAATTCGACTTGCGCCAACGTTGCTTTTGTGATGTTTGAATAAAACAATTGGGATTTATGTATTAATTCGGTTTGTGCAGAAACAAATAACATCTCTAACAAAATTAATCATACCACACCACACAACAAATATCGAAAATCAAATATCAACGAACATTTTGATTGCGCGTGTCTGTGTGTATGTGTGTGTGCGTGATTTTTGCTTCTGCAAAAACCATATGCAATGCATTTCATTTGATACATTCAATTCGTTCTCTCACTTCGCTACTTTAGACATCACTTTGGCGCAAGTCGATTTTCGCATTCTTTCAAACAATGCCTTCCGTTCATCCAAGCGTGAACACATTCCACACAAAAGTGATACCAAATTAATTGGGATAACACACTCTTTTATAAGATGTATAATAATTCACTGTTCATATACGATTTTAAAAATAATTAGCAATTTTCTAGGTGTAAACTTTTTTTTGACTCGCACGGTATACACACACATAAACACTTGTACAAACACTTTACCGCTCATCGAAAAGCTGTAGCGATCGCTGCAGCGCGAGCAAAAAAAATTCTTTCCGTTCTTAGCTTATCATTTTTGTTTAAATTTGCCTCTTCATTTTTTTCAATTTTTGTTTCATTAGTGGCTGTTTCGCGCTGTCGACAATATTCATAGAATATGCAATGGAGTCAAGTTCCAAGTGAAGCGGGCATTAAACTAGTCGACGGACCCGATCAGTATTCAGGCTGGGTCCAGGTCAAGCTTACACATGGCAGTTTGAATAACCTTATTACAATGTTGAACAGATTTGCACTTAATCGTTGATATGTTGCCAAATGTAAACACTTGCAATTGTGAAATTGTTTTCCATGGCGACACACAAACTACATGACACAGCTTTTTTGCCTCACAGCTGATACGAACACTTTTCAGATGTTAGAAACCAGGTGAGTCGTTTTACCTTACTAATTTTAAATGCTGAGTATTATTTAATATTGATGTTGGCTTGATGGGAGAGGAGCCACATGGTAGTTCAACTGCCAACAATTTCCTTTCTTTAGGCCCTTATCATTGTAACATTTTGATTTGAAATGTGCGTGAGTTATGCATAAACATGCAATCTCGTCATTTCGACAAGAATAAAGAGGATGAATTAGTTGATTCTAATCATTATAATAATTAAATAAGCATGATCATTCAGATCAGCATGAAATACTCATTCAATCTTAAAATGAAGTGTGTTTTCAGCTCATCCGTGGACCTGATCAGTACACAGGCTGGGTAGAGGTCAAACAGGCAAATTGCATTTTGAAAATTTGGACTACACCAATATAAGACCAACATTAAATGTTGCGTTGCTTTACTTAAAGTTGTAAATCTGCTAGCACCCCCTCCGATTCTCCCTCACACTTTCTGGTGAAACCACATATACCATAAAGGCATGTAACTTGTTAAAGCTTTAGATTGAAGGAATACAGTTTAATCTGCATTTCTCTTGTTAAGAACGGGCTATACGGAAATCCTTTCCCTCATCATTAACATAATTAATTTAATATAGACTTTCCCTCCCATCTTCCTAAAATTAGCAACCAAGTTAACATTACAATAGAATAGTCAGAGTCTAACAGTGGTGTCATGAGACAGGAACTATGGCACGTCATTGATGAACTGCAGGAATACCATTTGTACGATGACGCTACCCCGCGGAACATCACCTGTCACACGGGACTTGATAAACACGGCTCCTTTCATGAGCTTTCCCTGCATGGGTAAAGCTCTGTCTTATTTTAATAAACAATTGCCCTTTAACTTTTA